TCTTCCACTTCTGTTAAAATGGTTTTTTCATTTCAGACCAACCCAGAGTGGTGTTTGCTGCCTGGTTTATGCTGTTCATTTTCTTTCTGCTCCTGCAGTCCTGGAGGCACTGTGCTATAGCCTCTTGACTACAGCAGATCTGACATGCTTGTTCTGCTTTATAAGTGAGCACTGCAAGAGAAATGGTGCCATGCTTCCCCCACAAAGCAGATAGCTCAGATAATATAAAGAGTTGTTCTTTTTCTCTGTTTCTCAGCTGGAGAGCACCTCTGTCCTACAGACAGGCATTTCATCAATTTTCCTCTTTTTATTAACACTAAATTAGTATCCAAGGGGGTTTGCACAAGGAAATACGTCTCTAAGGAGTCATTCCTCCTTTTGCAGCCGTAACTGATTCACTTAGAGAATCCCGTCAGGAGCTCAGTTCAAGGGGGTTTTGCCTTCAGAAGGTTTGCTGTGAAAAGCTGTGTTGGTCTCCAGCTTTCTGGGTTACATTTTCAAAACACAGTTCTACCTGTGGTAACTGGTGGCTGACAGAGAGTTCATGTGAAAGTGAGAGGCACTGAGCTTTCCAATACCAGTATTTCAAACACTTCAGTGCTTGGATGCTGACAGCCAGTCCATCTGTTGGTAAAAACACAGAATTGCTACTTTAGCTGTTTCAGAGTTCGCTACAGTTACTCACCGTAGTGCAGCATAACTGGGTGTCATGGTTTAACCCCAGCCAACAACTGAGTACCACACAGCAGCTCCATCACTGCGTGCTCTCAGTGGGATGGGGAGAAGAATTGGGAAAAAAAAAAGGTTAAGATAAAAGGTTGAGATAAGAACAGTTTAATAATTGAAATAAAGTAAAATATTGTTATAATAATGATGACAATAATTGTAATGAGAAGGGAGATGATAAAAAGAGAGAGCGCAGTAACGCCCAAGAGAAACAAGTGATGCACAGTACAACTTCACCACCCAATGACCAATGCCCATACCCAGCAGTGAGCAGCCTCCCTCCCCAGCCAACTCCCCCCAGTTTATATACTGACCATTATGACATTCTATGGCACATAATATAACTTTGGTCAGTTTGGGTCACCTCTCCTGGCTGTGCTGCCTCCCAGCTTCTTGTGCACCTCCTCACTGGCAGAACATCGGAAACTGAAGGTCCTTGACTTGGGGTAAGCACCGCGTAGCAACAGCTATAACTTCAGTGTGCTATCAACATTATTCTCATTAAATGCAAAACACAGCACCGTGCCAGCTGCTGTCCCAGCTGAAACCACACCACCAGTTGTGTTTTAGCCTCAGTAAAAGACCTTTTTACTCATTGCTAGGCTTTTGCAATGAGATTATTGCTTATTTTTGCTGAGACTAGAAGCTCGGAGATTACATTCTTCAGGTAGGAGTTCTCTGGCAGCTTGGTTTTGAGCCTGGCTAGAATTGCAGGCAGGCAGCAGCACCACATATTTTTAACAAAACTTTTGGTGTGCAACTGGAGCAAAAGTGCATCTGCATTTCCCCCTGTTTGAGCCTTACATGACTGAGCATTGCTTTCTTGATTAGTGATAGACTTGTGAAGTCCTCTGGTCTATATTTATACTGCCAAGCTTTTCCTTGTCTGATCACCTCAAGGGCATTCTTGTGATTGTTTTTCTTACTGCCATGATAGTGCCAGATGCTCTGAGGACTTTTGCTAATCAAGGTAAGCAGAAACAGACCTTGCTGCAGTATATGTGGCATCACTTTCCTGGATTTCACACTGGTTTGATGGGAAATGAGGGTAGGGCAGACTGTGCTGGAGTTAGGTCTCTGCTGACTGTCCAGGGCAGCTTTGGGTGCAGGGTTGTCTCTCCTGCCTTACCTTCTACACCCACTGCAGCAAGTGATTTCACTGGAAAAGCTTGTTAAAAAACAACAACAACAACAAAAACCAAACAAACCAACAACCGCACAGCCCTAATCACAGGACTGACCTGAGCATCCCAGTCTTGCTCCCTGTGATTTCCATTAGCAGCCATCCTCTGAGTGGTCTCATGGCTAAATCAGCTGCTGAGCCTCTGGAAAGTGATTTAATGAAAGCATTTTATAGCAATCGAATGAAATGTCAGTTGGATGCCAGCAGCAGGGTTTGCTGTCATGATTAATGAGATATTTAGACATTTCATTTTGAAGGAGCTACCTGCAACACAATTTACATCAAAGCTGGTTTTTTTAGATGGGCTTTAATAAATTAATGTTAATGTTGGTTATTTGATTATTCTCAACAAATTCATTACAACTGCAGGGTTGCATTTGGGATGAACACATTATGGAGCCTTTCAGAAAGCTCATGTGCAAAAAGGGTTGTGTTCAGAGCATTGCACATTTTCTGATATAAAATGATGTAAAAGATGAGGAAGGGTTGAAATAGCCTATAATCTTTTGAATGCAAAGATGGCTTGAATATAAAGCTTTTGAAGCTGATATTAAATTATCATTCCTTCAAATAACAGGATATATCTTACCACTGGTAGAAAATAGTGACATCTAATAAATGGAATTATCATCTTACCTCTCTTTTGTCTAGGGGTCTCTTTTTTAAGGGAACAGGAATAATAAAGGTATTACAGGAACAGGGAGAAATGGCATTAAACCTTTTCAAACCTATTATAGCTACCAGTTGGAAGTTTTACAGTCCTTAACCCTGTGCGTCATTAAAGCTGAGGTTATTTCTACTTAAAGCCTGGCTCCTGCATTAAGTGGGCTCTACTGTTCGTTCTGCCCCTCTCCCAGGGAATTCCAAGGCAGTGGCTGGTGAGGCAGGGACTACTTTTTGACCTGAACACTAGTTCTTACAAAGTACTTGGGAATCATGAAGTGAAGCGGTTCACTGAAGGGAGGAAACTGAAGGCACCTCCTCACCCAACGACAGGAACATAATGTTACAATTTCTGCTCTTAAAGAAAAAAGACCACGTCTGATCCATTATTTGCTCCAAGCCACTGCTTCCTGCAAATTGACTGCAACAGTAGAATATTATGTTTTCTGCCTTTGGCACTACAAGGATGAATATCTGGAGCAGAGGAGATTCAAACATGGACAGGCAGTGGCAGCAGCTGAGAGCTAGTGGTTTAACTGAAGGGCAGCCTAGTGCTTTCCTGGGGGTAGTGCTGGCAGGGACTGGGAGCTGTAGCATCCCTGTATGTGGGGAAAGCAGAGGTATGTCAGGTATGTTAAGGAAAGTGCAATATAATGGACAAAAATAAAGCTTTGGACTTGAAATATTGGCAGATTTTCTAGAAAACAGAAGTGCTAATGATAACACAGTTTTGGGTTAAGCCAGATGCATTGAACTAATGAGTAGCTGGCTGGGTTTTGTCTCTGAGCATTAAGCCACAGAGCAGGATGTGGATTTTTTACATATCTGAGGCAATGCAGAGACTAAGTGGAATACAGATAATACAAGCTTAAATTCACCTGTTGAAAATCTCTCTGCTGTAGAGCAACTTGTTTTTTTACCGACCTTTAACATTTTAAATCTTTTAGGGTTCTTATGTATGCCTGGGATTTTTATTCTCTGTAAAGTGTTAGACCTTGTTTTTCCTGGGTCTCTGTGCTTTGCTACTCAACTCTTGTGGTTTCCAAGTAGTCATGCAATTTTGGCCTGTTACTAACCTGTCTTCTGCATTGGCGGTGAGTGAACCTAACGGGCATAACAGGCTGTGCAGAGAATTGTCATTTATGTGGGACCAGTCACAAGGGTTTGGATGTGACTTTGTGCAAACTTGTGAATAAACTTCTTGAGTTTGGGGAAGGAGATGCCATTCAATATCTGGCCTGGCAGTACAGTTTGATATTGCTGGGAAGCCATGAAAAGCTGCAAAGGATAAAAGCAAAGAATTTAAAAGATTTTGTTTTTTTCATGTTGTTGCCTAAATGCAGATTGACTATCTTTCATTTTTTTGAAGGAGCTTTCCTGTTGCTGAGCAGTCTCACCTGTGTGGCAAAACACGGGCATTGTCAAGGGAGAGGACAGACTCAGCCCTTTCTCGACCTCCTGATGAAATCCCGAATTTAAATGCCCTTTGGCCCCTGTTGGGGAATATTGAACCTATTGAATAAGCTTATGTAAAAGTATAAACCCTACTAAACCTGAAAGAGTTGCTTTGCCAAACATTATGCTTTAAAAAACCCTTTTCTCTGATTGTCTGGTAGAGCTGGAAAGGATGAAGTCCTTTGTGGCAGTGATGCTGTCACAGCGGCCCATCTGCTCATGCTGCCTCCACGGTTCAGAGAAAGTGGGAGGAGTCTTTAAGGGTGATGCCGTTGAGCATGGGCTGTGCTGAGCTTACCCTCCTTGCACCCACTCTCCTGTGACCCCTGGCGTGCCACAAGGAGCACCAACCAAGCACCCCTGCACTGGGGGGCCGCTGTGGGGCGAGTGATGCAGGGAGGGAGGAGAGGCTCTGTGAGCCAAGGGCTTTCAAAGAGCATCTGGACAGTGCAAACGTGACTGGCACAGAGCCACCTGCCCTTCCTCTCCTTGTTCAGCCCCACTTACTTTCACTTTCGAATAGATGGATTTTACTTTTTATCACTGCTGCTGTCCCTGCACACTCCTGCTTGGTCATTGCAGCAGATCAGCCTGCTGGAGCGGGTCAAGTGTAGGAATCTGGATCTGGGCATCACAAACCATATGACAGAGGAGTGGGATTGTAGCAGAGAAATAAAATAATGAGGATTATTATTTCCCAAATAATTAGGAGTAATAATAAGGATTAATATTTCCCAAATATTTGCTCCAAAACTACCTTCTCTTCCACAGCATAATAGCAGTTGAGAGAGCCTACAGGAGAAGAAAGGAGGCTAAATTAAATGAGATCTTTTCCTGGTGATTTAAAGCATCCTTTATCTCCTTCTTCCCCCTTGTCCTGGGCAGGGTCTGTTTCTCGCAGGGTTCTACCAGCCCCTGGCCCCTCTCTGCCTGGTGGGGCTGGACCTCAGGCAGATTTTCTCTTGCTTTGCAGCTGCTGAACCCAGACCCAGAAGAGGATGGGGAAGCAGAACAGCAAGCTGCGCCCCGAGGTGCTCCAGGACCTGCGTGAGAACACCGAGTTCACGGACCACGAGCTGCAGGAGTGGTACAAGGGCTTCCTAAAAGATTGCCCAACGGGCCATTTGACTGTAGAAGAGTTCAAAAAAATATATGCAAATTTTTTCCCCTATGGCGACGCGTCGAAGTTTGCGGAACATGTCTTCCGCACCTTTGACACCAATGGCGACGGGACGATTGACTTTAGGGAATTCATCATCGCCCTGAGCGTCACTTCTCGGGGCAAGCTGGAACAGAAGCTGAAGTGGGCGTTTAGTATGTACGACCTGGATGGCAACGGGTACATCAGCCGCGGGGAAATGCTAGAAATAGTGCAGGTGAGGCACGATTGTTGTTGTGTGTCTTGTTTGTGTGGCTGTAACCTCTTCACCCTGAGACAGCTGGACCTGGAGATGAGGAGTATGCTGACCTGGGTCAGTCCTGCCCCGGGGAGGTTCCTGAGCCCGTGTCCATGGTGGGACCTACAAGATGCAGATGAGGAAAGGGCTTGAGACATGAACAGGGCACTTGTGCAACTGGCCCGCAACCAAAATCCTGCAGCTCTCCCTGGGGATTTCTTAGTGGGTGTTAATGGGATCAAAAAAACCTAAATACAAATTCTACTGACCTGATAAATATCAAAATTAATACTTTAAAACTTCAAGTCTGAATCAGTGTGAACTCTGGATGAAAGGCTGTAGCATGTCTTTGTCTCCACCAGGGCTCAGCCTCAGCATTGTCCTGCTTGGCATCTGCTCTGCAGCTCAGATGTGTTTCTTGTGCACTGCAAGGAGGTAATAAGTCAGGCAGTGCTGTGACATTTGGTCCTCATGGCTGAGGTGGGATAATTTAGGTGGAAGGCTAGTACTGCAGACACCCTAAAGAGGTCTCATCATTTTTCACATTCTTGTAAGTCTGGAAATGTATTTCCTCACCCATCCACAAAGAAAAACAACCCTATTCCTATAGATACATATTCAGCATAATCCATATAGCACCCCACATGCATACATGTAACTGAGTGTGTGATGAGAGCCAGCCAAAGAGGCGATGGCTTAGCCCAGTTGCAGAAGAGAGAATTACGCACCATTGCCTCCTGTATTTTAGCTCAGTTCTGCTCACACAATAATCTAGGCTGTTACTTTCAGTTAAACTGATCCAGTGCTTTTTTTAAAGCACGAATGAATACAGCAAAGAAAAATAAAAAGGCTGCAGACAGATAGTCCCATTTGTTTTGGTTTATGAAATAAAGTCCTACAGCTGCCTTCCAGGGTCAGCTACTGGTTTTTTGTTGCTACAGGCTTAAACTCTTTTTCTCTATTCTCGTGCTTTATCGTTTGGGTCATGTTTTTCCTGTATCTTTTTTTTTTTTTTTTTAAATACTCAGGCAATTTACAAAATGGTTTCTTCAGTAATGAAAATGCCAGAAGATGAATCCACTCCTGAGAAGCGAACAGACAAGATCTTCAGACAAATGGACACAAACAATGATGGTAGGATCGCCACCCCTTCCTTGGCTCTAGAAACAGAGGTTTTCTAGCCCAGCCTTGATAGTTTATGGTATTTAGGGAGAAGGGCTAGAGGGCAGGGATGTCCTCACTGGGTGCCTCTGGTCTCTGACTGGCCTCAGTGAGCATCTCCGGTCCATGACAAATAGGACGAATAAGTGGGTAGTGAGCAGCAGGTGAGAAACTTTCACTGCTGGAGCGCTGAGAGGAGAGCAGTCCTTCCCTGATATTTCCTGGCTGAATCCCCATCTGTGAAGGCTCCTCTGAAATTCCCGAGTCCATTATCTTTGGGTTATTTTCTCTGGGTGTAGCACAAACTAGGCATGAGGTTTTGCCTTTGATAGGTTTGCACTCCGGGGCTTGTCATACTTGATGCATGTCCTGAAATCAAAAATTCCTTGGGTCTATAGTATTTATTTTCTGTGAATGTTCATGGCATGTATATGTCTGTATACACATGAAAAAATACCATCTTATTTTTAGACAGGTTTTTATTTAAGAGAATTTTATGGCTGCATTTTGGTGTCTGCTGCTGCAGCCCCAAGGCAAATTTCTGGCCTTGCTGAAGTCCTCAAGTATTTTACCTTTGACTTCATCAAAACTAGCACTTCATCCCCTGACTTGATATGCAGGGGTCCCTAAAAGAACATGATTAAAGTATTTTCATTCTGTGGAAAGTAGCAGTGCGTGCAGATGTGCAAGAGAGTAGTGGTCACAAAACCTGCTATATATACACATCCTCCATCTGTTGCATGTTGTTGCTGAAATAAAATCATACTATTCTCAGTAACACACCAGCCTTGCAAACCATGCAGTGCCAAGCAATAACATCTGCACATGTGTGCTCTGGCGGCTGGAAATGTTTCTTCTTCCCCATTCGACTGTTGGGCATTGCAAATAGGTTTTGATTTGTGCTTCCCTTTTAAGAAATGGCCAAGCCCACCACTGAACCATGTCCCTAAGTGCCACATCTTTTAAATGCCATCAGGGATAGTAACTCTACCACATCCCTGAGCAGTCTGTTCCAATTGTTGACAACCCTTTTGGTGAAGAAACTTTTCCTAATATCCAGTTGAAACTTTCCCTGGTGCAATTTGAGGCCATTTCCTCTTTTCCTATTTCTTGTTACGTGGGAGAAGAGTTCCTCCCTGTTCAACCTGATTCGGGTGCTGGCCACCAAGGTCATTCCTCTCCCATCCCCATGGCAGGCTGGTAGCATCCTGGGGCTGGTGAAAACTGGCACAAGGAGCTGATGCCTCCCTCCCTTTGGGTGCATTTGGCCAAAAGTAACAGCAGGCAACTGCCAAGTGCAGTATGTTTTTGCGTGGGTCCTGTCTTGAGCTTAGCAGTTTGGGTTAGGTGAGGATGGCCCTGGGGTGTTGTGTGAGGGTAGGGGTAGGTTGTGCTGAGTGCATGAGGTAAATGAGAGATCAATGGACATGGTCTTATGAAAACAGCAAATTCTTGTCTCCTCAGATTCATAGGGAACCCAGTTTCATTTCTCATTAATATTGCTACATCTTATTTCTGCCACTTTTCAGAGTGCTGAAGCAGGAGAGTATGGGTGATAACAAGCAAGGCAGAGGCTACTCACAGGCTCCTTATGGTATTTGTGCAGGGAAGTAGTCCTGAGATCAGGAGAAACCTGCCAGGGGGGTGGGTCACCCCAGGATGAGGTCTGAAAAACCATGCTGTGCTGTGCCATAGCACGGGATTGTTGGAGCCAGGGGATGTCAGGGTGGTTGTTTCTTGTAGTTGCTCCGCCTGGTTGCCCCTCCAGAGATCACCTTTTCAGACCATCAAACTGTTACAGAGTCCATCCAATTTGGTGCCCCTGGCCTAAACTGAAGATGTATAAACCAGAAGTGCTCAGGAGCAACACGTAGCAGTAGGTGGCTCCCCCAAGGATGGCTTTTCTTGCTGCCCCATGAAACCCATCCTATTCCTGTACACCCAGCAGGGCACAGCAAGTGTTTTGCAGAATCACAGAATAGTTTGAGTTGGAAGGGACCTTTAAAGGTCACCTGGCCCAACCCCCCTGCAATGAGCAGGGACATCTTCAGCTAGATCAAGTTGCTCAGAGCCCCACCCCACCTGACCTTGTAGGTTCTGGAGATGCCATCACTGCTCATCCCTCCATGTCACAGAAAACAAGGGGGCAAAATGTGGATATTTGGAATATTTAGGTTTAAAATGTAATAACACGAGCATCATTTCAAAGTAGACATGAGTTCAGGTACCATACCTTGTGTTCCTATGTTATTTGTATGGTCTGGTTCTGAGCAAGAAGTTGCCAAATTATATTAGAACAGTTGTTTTTTTTATTTGGGACTGTCTTTTTAAATGAAAAAATAACAATTATTATTGTGGATTGTTTTGCAGAAGAAAAATGCATTTGGACTTAAAGGCTTGGGTAGGATTTAGCTGCTGTGCACTGCGCTAAATTCCCTTAGATGCCTTTGTGATAGATTAGATAGATGTTATGTTGCTTTGATGAGGAGGGATTCTTTTAAGCTGCACCAATGGTGGTGGCAACAAGTGAGGTTTTAAGAATTATTTTCATTTGGGTTTTTCTCCCTTTCAGGTAAACTGTCACTGGAAGAGTTCATCAAAGGTGCCAAGAGCGATCCCTCCATCGTGCGGTTGTTACAGTGTGACCCCAGTAGCGCGAGCCAATTCTGATTAAAGCGGACAGTGTGCTCAGAGAATCTCAGCTTGTGTCCTTCAAGCTTTGCTCGCAAACGGATGCCTTCTCAACCATTCCTCCACACTTTGCGGATAAGATCCCGTTGCCAGATTGTGTGTGTGCGTGTCCGAGCGAACCAGCCCTTGCTCCCCCCAATAACACCAGTGCAGTTCTCCTTCGGCAGCTCCGTTTCTGCTTCCCTGTAATGTTACAATTCACTCTACACATTTTAAACATTATTGAAAGGTATGTTTACATGCAGCTACGAGAGAGTTCAATCACTGGTGAGATACCATTTCACTTAGTCTGTAAGAAAGGTGATGTTCTAGTAGTTCCCGAGAAGATGCTAGGTAGGACTTTTACCCAACATAGCAGATGGTAGATAATTTATTTTGCTTCAGAAATTACTGTGGTTAAAAAAAAAAAAAAAAAAAAAAAAAAAAAAAAAAAAAAAAAAAAAAAAAAAAAAAAAAAAAAAAAAAAAAAAAAAAAAAAAAAAAAAAAAAAAAAAAAAAAAAAAAAAAAAAAAAAAAAAAAAAAAAAAAAAAAAAAAAAAAGGACAGCGGACTGAAATGGAGTAGAAAGTTTAAAAAAAAGAAAAAGAAAAAAGGAAAAAAAAAGCAGCTTTCCTGGGCATGGTTCCAATTTTCTTTTTGAGGAAAATTGCTTGCACTTATCTAATGGTCTTTACTTTCTTTTAATATATATATAAATTATATATATATGGTGAAGTAAAATTTTAAATATTTAGGTCATCTATTTAAGGCATAAAATAGAATTCGAGCTTTGTTTCTTCTAGTTGTCTGTGATTTATTCAAATCTTGGAGATTGTTTTTTTTGTGATATTTATGCATTAGCAAATTGCTGTTCCAAAAGAAATGCATGACTAGCAGTTTGTGGATATTTCACTATGTTAAATTCCTGAATGCAATTATTTGTTCATTTTTACTGTCAGTCATTCCAATGTTACTGTATTAACAAAAGACCTGAAAGGAGTTCATCCTCATTTTGTATTTCTCAGTGGAGTCCTACTTTCTGGTGGTTGCTGCGTTAAATGGCTTTTGAGTGCCCCGAGGTGATGTGACTGGCACTGCTGTTCTTGACTTGGCTACACCTCCTCCCTTTTGCTGTTGATATGTTAATAGTCTTGTGCATTCCAGTGTTATTTAATATCTGCCTAATGCCAAGAAATATTAATTGAAATAAAAGACTACTTTTCTTGTCACTGCCTGTCTTGGTCTAACCCATGCAACGAGTTCCTAGAGTCAGGTATTTGGAGAAGGATGAGGCCAGTTCCCTGCCCGGCATGTCCCTGTCTTGTCTGGGACACGTTGCTTTGCAAGTATGTAGGGGTTTTGGGAGCCAGCTGTTGTGGGTAGGTTAATGCAGTGGTCTCAGTGCCTGCAGGTGCCTGTGGGATCCTGCTCCATCCCAGCTGAATCCTTGTGAAGACTGCAGGAAGCTGACAGCTCAATTTCTGCTGGATGCATAGCCACTCACAGTAGTGAAGGAAAAGCTGCTGACCCTGCTGGCTGGGCTACTGTGACCATGGTTTTACAAAATGAAACTCTGTTCATGTACCAGGTACATGCTATTGGAATAATGTTTGACACTGGTAGCATGGAAAACAGTTTTCCCCACGTTCATCAGGTCTGCAGTTATCTGCGTAAGCCTGTCCTCTCTGCAAAATAAAGGGTCAACAAATTACTTGTCCTGAGGTTAATGCTGAGTATGCAGTTAAGGGATTTTTACTGAGTATAACATTCTAGTAGTAGTTAGGGGATAATACTTTAATATTTAAAGGAGAGAGAAATGGTTGCAATATCCAAATGGAAATACACTGTTAGATCAGACTTGGTCTACAACAAAGACTTGTGTCAGTGCTGCCAAGCAGAAGAGTGTGTTCGTTTTCTTCCCTGGAAATTCAAATTTGAGCTGTTAAACTGGCAGTACTTTCAACCACAACAGTCTGCTGATGAGGCATCCCTGAAAAGGAGGTTAATCAGAAGCCTGCCTGCTTTCCGTGGGTAAGCCTAGCAAAAAAAAAAGGAAACTACTGAAAAAAATGTAATTCCATGGTTGCTGATAGTCTTGTTTCCAGAGTTTTTGTGTTCATGCTGGCTGTTTGCCAGGAGGTGCTGGGATGTTAGAGATGCTGCAGATGTTCTTACTCTAATGGCTCTTCTTGAATGGGCTGGGTAGCAATTGTTTAGATGTGAGTTTGTCACCAGAGGCTTTATCATCTCTGGATTCAGGAGAGAATGGAAAAACATCTCTGCCCTTGTCCCAGGGTGGTGCCTCTGAGAGGGACTGCAGCATTTGAATCTTGTTTGTGTGATCTTAAAATGAGTCAGGCATATTTTCAGTCAAGCATTGCACAATATTCTTTTCTTGGGTACCAATGATGTAAAAACTGTTTTCCAGTGGGACTTTTGTTGTCTTTTCCACATTTTCCTGACATTTTACCTCTTCTGGTTTCCACTGCTGTCTGTTGTGAACAGCAAGTTTAAGCAGCTGTTTAACAAAGCCCAAACTCTTCTCATCTGAAAAAAAAAAAAAAATTTCCTTACAGTGGCTCATTTTGACCTTGTGTGTGCAGAAAGAAAGTGAATGAGTCTGAATCTTAGAGGTCAAAAATTTCCCATTTCTTTGATGTTACAATTTGTGCTCTAAAATGGGCTGAGGTGTCCACAATGGAGTTTTCTGCCCGCTGTGGTCTGACAAGCCCCTGTGCAGCCGCTGGACTTCGTCCTACTTCACCTGGCCCAATTTCATCTGCCTTTCTCTTTGCCTCTAAACTTTCCAGTCCCAGGTTTGGTTTTTTTTACGTTGTCCCTCACTACTTTCACAGCTTTTAAGGAGATTCTTCTTTTCAATGTGCAATGGGTCAACCCCATTTCAGACCAGGGCTGGCACAGAGTAAGCATGTAAGATGCTCCCAACTGGCCTTTCAGGAAGCAAGTGAAGGAAGATGCTCAGGAAAGGTGGTCATGCATGGCATCCTGGGGAGATTGGGAGACTCTCTGAAGCCTAACCAGGCTGAGCTGTTCAAAGGTGGCTTCTGATATGGGGAACCTTTTAATTGTAGGCCAACCAAGTACTGGAAAGGGGTTTATCTGCTGCTGCCAAGCAGCTCTCTTAAAATCAGACCTGCTTCAGAGGCTGAAGTTGTGCATCCACAGTCACTGGGTGACTTTGATCATCTTGGCTGTGCTTGAACAGCTCCTCAGAGGATGTCTCTCTTTTCCTGTCTGGTAACAAGGACTCAGAGGGGAGAGCAATTTCCAGGCTCCTTCTCCAGGATGTCGTTTGAGTGTTGATACAGGCAGAGTTCAAAACCAATAAAGACATCAATGAAAAGCTAAGAGAGCTTTACTGCTCCTTGAGGTCCCAGGGTTCCCTTTCATGGAGGAATTGGTGTGTAGAGGGGTTAATCACTTGGGAAATTAAGTCCAAGTGATTAATGGAAAACTTCAACTTATTAAGAGACTCAGGTGTTTTGGCAAATTGTATGATTAATCAAAAATGGAGTCTTAACTTAGCAAAAGTAGAGTTTGGCACAAAAAATCGTCACCAGTGGGTTCATTTTTACCTTGCTTTAATAAGCTATGTAATTATTTTCTTGCCATGGAGATATCTAGCACTCTGAAAGCCCTTTCTAATTACTACATAAATTCAGGCTTTTCTATATGAATTGCAGGTCTTGTTAAGCTAATTCAGAATTATGTCATTGCCTTTCAAATTAAGTTAAATCCTGTCTGGTTGCACCCTAACACTGGTTGATGGAGGTGCTTGCGTTCTGTCTTGTGTTTCTCACTTGCCAAATTTTCATTGGCCCTTTGTTTTTAAATAAGGCCCTTTGCAATGTATTTTTAGCATAAGCCTCTGAGTAATAAACTCCTGTTCTTCCTGTGAAGAACAACGAGAGCATTTCTGCAGCCACAGGGCAGATGGTCTCCATGGATAGTCCCTGATCCATCATGCAGGGCACCCTTTATTCATATTTAAAGGTTAAGAACAGCCATTGACTTTAATGGTCCAGTGGGCAGACTGGCATTTTGAGCTCCCTGAGCTGCACCATGGTAGACACATTGCTGATGAACCCGATAATTGCTGTTATCTCTTTTGGGAGGAGAGATGCTTTATTGAAAAGTCGGAAAACAGTGGGAGAAGGAGAGCAGAGCGTTTTTCTGTGTAGAAGCTTTGGAGATGCCAGCATCTCTGGGAGCAATGTGCCTGCAAGCAGACCTTACCTGTTGCCCACCTTTATCAAGTGTGATGGTTTGGATGCAGACACGCTTCTGAACACTCCTCCATGGTCACTGTGGTTAAAGGGCAACCACTGCATCATCAGAGGGTCGTGTTAATCCCATGTCACAGAAGTCAGAAACCACTGGCCTGAAGGAGGCAAGGTCCCAGCAGCTGCCTGGTGTCTTCAGGGACAGAGGGGCAAGGCCATGACCACTAATTGGGCAGGTTATTTTAAGAGGTTAACAGCAGGCTGGCTCTTCCTGATGGAGGAGCAATTTATCCCACACTAAGTCTTTACTGGTTGGGCTGTCACTGGAGGGAATTGTCCCTCACTTGAAGGTGAGAAGCAAGGTCCCCTCCCTGCTCCTCTCCGCATGCTTTCCCACACCTTGTTGTTTGCTGCTGCTGGGGCTTGGGTGGGTCAAGACTGACACCATGGGTCATCCTCAGCCCCTTCAAATCCTCCCTACCTGTAAGGCTGTAGCTCTGAGCTCATCTTTGGTGTCTTCTCCACCTTGTAGCTGGCACTGGAAGCTGCATCACTAAATCTCTGGGCACTGCCAGCTCACAGCTGTGCTCCCAGGGCTCCCACCCCAGCACATTTTTACCTTTCCAACCACTGCAACTGGTTTGCCTGGGACCTTGGCAGCTGCTTTTGCCTTAACTTTTTTTTTCTTTTGCCTAAAATGCAGCAAGTTCTATGCAGCAGTATGGAACTTGGTGCAGAAGGCAGGTCACACTCTTAAGTCCAAGTTGGTCACAGATATATTATAGCAAATATGACAAATTACATCCTGGGTTGTTTGCCTCTATATTCCTGCTCCTGTCACCCAGGCCATTCTGCAGGTAATGAGGTGTAAGATATTTAAAAGATGTGTAGATGTGGCCATGGGTTAATGGTGGCCTTGGCAGTGTTGGGTTAATGGTTGGACTGTATGATCTTAGAAGTCTTTTCTAACCTAAATGACTGCATGATTCTGTGAAATCCCAGCCCTGTGGCCATGCATGGTTCTGCTCTAGCCTGTCCTCACTGACAAGAGCAGCCACGTATTTCTTCTGTGTACTGAAGCACCTCTAATGCCATCCTTGACTTGTTTGCTGAAGAAGATGCAAACTGCCATGTCTCTCTGGTATCTTCATTTTGGGTACGTGCAAGAAGAA